AGGGGAAGAAAACTGGGAGGTTTTCTACCCAATAAATAAGGCTAGCCTTCAAGGATCTACCTTGAATATAATTTATATATTGTCAAAACTAATGAATAGCCAAAACTGCATGAAAATAACTATTTATTAGGTGTTACCTGTTGTTATTGAAAAAAGCCTTGCTGCAACACTATAATCAACGCTCCTTAAAACGAGTTGACTTTGTAAGTCCTTGTATTAAACAGGACTGATTATGGTTTATCCTTCTTTCTTCTTTCTTCGTTTAATCCTTATTTTCGTGCCATAGTTTCTGTGGATGATGGCACACATGCACGTCTGCATCTTTGTGTATATGCAAAGTGCACTTCATGTGTACTAGACCTTGATCCACTCTGCTGATTTCACCTTTTGCCTTACCGTACAGTAGTACTCCCCTAAAGACCCTTTCAAAATGTGGTTGGGACTGAAATAAAAATTTAAAAGGGTGTAGTTTAATGATAACTCCTTTTGGATTTACTATTTGTCTTTTTAACAATAAAACATTTCTTCACAAATAAATAAATACAAATTCTGTATTTTCAAGGATATAACTATAATTGAATTGATACTACAAATGGCGTAAACAATTTGTCACTTTATTTTGAAATTATATGTTATTGCACTGCCAATGATCCCTGTAGCATTCTTTTTCAGGGACTTTGTGTGCGGGTTGTTTATGTGCAGGACTGTTGTTTTGCATTCGCCCTCCCTTTTTGGCTGTCTGTTTTTATTAGTCCTTTTTGTAATCACTAAAGCCGCCCACTCAACTTACCCATTTTCCCGGGATTTCCCCCTTGTTTTCCAACTGTTATTGCTTAACTGGTGTTGATAATAACGATGATCACGGAAGAAGCGCAGGAGAAAGGAAAGCCAGCAAAGCAGCCATAATTTTTCCATGTGAACAGAGTCGCCCCCATTTTCTCGATTTTCCCTTTCTGCATTTTGCATTCTGTTTTTTCTGTTTTTTTTTTTTGTTTTTTTCCCTTGCCCCGGCTTTCTTCTTCTTTTTGCTTTTATCTGTTTTTTTTTTTTCATGGGCAATTTTCTTTATGAGTGTGTAGGGCGCTGTCGAAGAGCTTTATTGAAATCGTGGCGAGGGGATGGGGGGCCTGGGGATCTTATTGTTTTTATACCTTTAGCCAAGTCAGGCTTGCTCGTTAGCCATGGTCGTGACACACATACACACACAATGCACACACCGATACTCCCGCACACACACGCACACGCACACGCACAATATGTTCGCCATGCAAATGAAGTTAGTTTTTGGTGCTGGGCGGATGAAAAACAACAGAAATCTCATTGCTATGAAAAAATTTCCATGGACCCAAAAGCCATGGCCAGGAGAACCTGTAGATTTGGCTTTTAAAAGCACATTAAAAGAAATTGCTCGACTTTGCGATGGGCGCAAATTGAAGAAAAATACGTGTGCGTGTGTGGAGCAAATATTCGGTGCATGGGTGGGAAAAATTCTTTCATGTTCGAATTTCCCATTGGAAAATTCTTAGAAAATGATTGTATAGTTATACAAGTAATAATATAATCACTTATTAATAATCTTTATTTTCTTATCTTTGAATTAAACACCTTTCAATCAGTTCGCCTATGTTTTTTGCCCTTCAGATTTATTTTTTATTCGAACTGATTTGTCAAAACATTCAATTTAATTGGGAAAAAACACGTTTTTCTCCTCCTGTTTTTGGCTTTTCCTGAGATTTTCCCCCTGCCCTTTTGCATGAGTGTGTGTGCGGGAAGTCTGACAATTTCTAATCGAACAGATTACATGTGTTTCTGCCTTTTAAAATGCAAATTGAACTTGTTAGCAAGCGCAAAATGAGAGCAGATTGTTGGGGGAGTGAAGTGGGGAGGACTTCAGTTTTCCGCAGCTGAGGAACTGTGCAGGCGATGGCATTTTTTAATGGGCTCGGGCAATAATAGTTGTTACTTGCGGTGGCCCTTCGGCGGGCGGGGACTTCTCCTTCTCGAGGAGGAGCTCTCCGCGTGGGTGGATGGATGGCATAAACAATGGCTGCACTTTGTCTTCGGCCACTCGCGACAAGGCCAAAGGGAAATTCATCAAATGTGACTGGCTCTGACGCACTTCCACCACAGACTCGGTCCACTTTGGTGGGTCCCCCCAACCCCCCAACACCCCCCAACACCCCCTCAGTCCGTCCACTCCTCCTTGTTTGTCAGTTTTTCTTTGTGGCGTCATTTGACTATTTTTGCTCTGCCTCGTTGGCTCTGTTAATTGCTGCTGACATTTGTCACCTCCTCCCTTCCCCTTCCCCTTCCCCCTCCCCTCCTCCTTTGAACCCTTTAGGCCTTCGGCTCCCCGGTTGTAACCACTTCCATATGCTTCCATCTGAGCCCTTTCGAAGGAGGCTCGAGTATAATTTTGGAAGTGTCAAGGTGACTGTGAGATGGCTGGCTGGCTGGTTATTTAAGAAATAATTGCTGCTTTAATCCAGATTCTAGATAGGTTTTGAAATTGTAAACGCAAGTTAACTGAATAACAAGATAACATTTAAGTGTATTTAATTTTTAATGTTGGCACTGCATATCAACATTCTTAGACCGAAATCAGTTGTATAAATTATTTTCTAATGCAACAAATAACAAATAAATTCCAAAGGCTTATCGAATTCGGAGACTTTTCAACCCTGTAACCACTCGACCCTTGGCCCATCGACAACCCTGGTGGGTTCCATTGTTGGCAACACTGTTTGTTTGAATTGTTGGCTTTCTTCGGGTCTCGTTTGCCCCTCCCCCCTCACCACTTCTCCCCTTTTCACATCCTTTTTTCGGTGCTCCCCATTCGGCCTTGGCTTCAAGTGGCGCCACCCCTTCCCCCTTCCCCCTCCGTTCCGTTGGCTCCTGGTTCCTCGTCCAGCTGTTTGTCTAAGAATTGAAATGTCATGCAATAAATCTACCCCACACATACGCACCGAAGGATGCACCCATGCACACTCGCACATCCTGAGGCCCAGGCTTTTCAACAACTTTTCACATTTCCACATTTTTGCATGAACTTTTTGACGATGTCAGATAGTTTTGTGCCCGTGCGCTATTGTTTGAAAGTGCACCAGCTTCGTGGCGAGGGGAGGGGGCCAGAGGTGGGCAGGAGGTGGGAGGGGGGGGCAAATAATGGAGGTGTAGATGCAGGCCGCCTCTACACAGAGGGCGTGGCTGCCACGCCTACGGTGCATCAAGTGCGTCAGCAGCAGTACACTACAAAAATACATATTCCAATCAAACGAAAGGAAGAAACGAAAGAGTTTCCCTTATTGATTTAGTCAAAATATTTAGCAAATGAGAGGCCAAGCTTCTTATCTTATTAATCTTATTAAAGATACAGAAAATGAATTCCCTTGAAATATCGAAAAAAATTATTTCCAGTGCACAAACAACAACAACGAGAGAAATCATCGCATTCATTATGATTTTTATTTCTCGTTTTTCGTCTTTCAATGGGCACAAGGGTTGGTTCGGGCTGTTTGGGCCAAAAGTTTGACTTTAGGGCGTAATTTCATTGCAAAATATTTGCAGACACACACACACACACACACACAGACAGAGACACACACAAGCACACAGAGAGATGTGCTGAGGAGAGAAAGAGGCACTGCGAGTGAAATGTTTAATAAATATATACATTCAGGCAACATTCTTGCTTATTGTTGCTGCTTGCACGAGTTAAAACGAGTTAACAGAGGAAAAGCGCAGGGCTAACAGAAAATGAAAAGACAATGAAAAAACAGCTGAATACATCCATAATTTTATTTTTATTCTCATTTTTATTTATATTTTTTGTCCGTCGCTCTCAGCTCCTCGTAACTATTTGTGCTTTGCAAGCAGCACCGAGAACTATGCATTATTTGTTAGCTGTATCCCCAAGCAACACACCCCCCCCTCCCCCTCCCCTCCCCCTTTTCTTACCCTTTTTATACCCCTTTTTGGCACCCTTTGAGGAAATAAATTTCACACATATATTTTTGCAGTTCTGCCATAGGAGCTGCATTCTTTTGAGGGCAAGCATTCCCTCTTAATTTGGTTGAACAAATTACAAGGGACCCGTTTCCGGTGTTTTTAGAAAAGCATAGATGCGAATGCATTGAAAATGCTGATCTCTTCTCATCACAATTTATCAAGAAGGATATGCTCAAATTATCTTGGTTGCGGCTATCCAAATGCACAAGCTTTATAATCCTGAAATTGTTTGGTTTAGAGATAAAAGTCAAAGTTATACAATTTAGTAAGGTTTAATAATTAAACTAATAAAATAACTTAATTGTATTCCCGGGATATACCACAAAGATTTTTCCCCCGTTCATTTATTTTTATGTTAGGGAATTCAGATTGATAGAGTTCCTGTTCCTGACTCTTCCAAAGCTGTATCAATTTTTTAAGCAGCTACCCCTCCACCTCCCCCTCCACCTTCACCTTCACCTTCCTGGCTTTTTGTTCCTTTCGCATTGCATTTTAGTTTGACTGTATGAAAATTCTTCTAATTGGCAAAACCAGAAGTGTGAGAGATTCTGTGTTCACGTTCGTAAGTTAGTTTCGAATTTTCACTTGTAGATTTCCGTGTGTGTGTGTGTCTGTTTGTGTGCTCTTTTTGTACAGAGCCATCAAGTGTGAAAATGACTTGTTAGCAGTAAGGCACAAAAAACCTGTAAACTGGTTATTTCTGAATTAACAATGAAGCACAAGAGACGTAGAGCTATTTACAACAGTTGGGAAATATCATCTAATGTTTCTTTTATTTTAATTTCTTTCCAACAAATGTGCTCTCCAATAGCAGTTAAATGATAATTACTAAGTTTGCTTTCTTTATTGACAACGAATAGCCATAAAAACAAGCTGTAAAGGGCTCAAATTAAAGCCCAATTATGGCCAATTAATTCCTGCACTGACTCCCGATTCTGATTCCGATTCTGATTCCGATTCTGATTCCCGTCAATCCGCAATTGCAATTGCAGCAACTACCAGCAGATCCAGCACCTGGGATACTACGGACACGAAATCGGCACCGAGAGCATCTCCCAGCAGCAGGGACTCCAGGACAAGGGCTACGAGGAGTGGGTCGGCGAGATGATTGGCATGCGTGAAATCCTGCGACACTTCGCCAATGTGTCCGTCAACGATGTGGTCGGCATGCGAGCTCCATTCCTCAAACCCGGCCGCAACACCCAATACAAGGTGAGTTTTTCTTCTTCTTGTTGTTGTTGCACGTGGGGTGGTGGCAAAAGGGGTGGCGGAAAGGGGGTTCGAGGTGGCAGGTTGGCTGCTCTGCACAAAAGAAATGCAAGCAATGAGAACGTCAATTGACATGCAATTGTCGAGTGCGATTTCTTGAAATCAGAACCAGAGGGATGGGGAGTGGAAAGGGAAAGGGAAGGGGAAAGGGGTAGTTGGGGGGGATGGACCTTCGCAGGTTCGAAAACAGAATCGAAAATCGAAAAGTGATTCATTTAAAGCTGCAGCTTCAGTTTCTGTCAACACAGCCAAACGGAATGGCTAAACGTGCTCAATTTGTTCGCAAGCCAATCGAACTGCATTCCCGTTTAAGGTTTGATTCACCCTGATTGACTCGAATCTTTCAGGAACTTATTCAGTTATTGTTATAGTAATTTGTTACGAAGTGATTTAAAGGTGGATAAATCGCCTTAGCACTCTAAAGCAGCTTATGCCAAATCTTTGGATTACAAACATAAATTGTTCTCTTAAGATTAGTCAAGGATTTGATTTAGTTCTTTAAAATACGAAATCACAGAGAACCCAATTTAGTAATGTTAGTAGAATAAGCATATTAAAAGTACATGCAATTTCTTTTTAAATCACCATCTTAAGGGGCCTTCAATATGGTTGAACTTTAATTCAAACAGTCCATGCCTTGGCTTGAAATTATAATGAGGTGTGGTTGAAAATCCAATGAGGCAATGACAACCGAAACCCGTAGCATAAACCCCCCAAACACGCGTACCCTTTGTTTCGGGCGGAACTTTCTGGTTGACATGACGTGACATGACATCAGTGTCACAACTCATTTGCGTGCATAACGACTCAAGTGCCCCATCATGCGACACCCACCCATCCATCCTCCCAGTCCACCTCCAAATCTCGATCAGACTCGTTGGCATATTCACGCGCTTAAAAACATATCAATGGCCAATCTCCTTATGCAGACAGTAGGCCAAAGTGACATGACGGCCCATTGGAGTGAGAATTCAGATGGGCTCGTCACCCATTCCTTACTAATTCCTTAATTTGTTAACAGCCAATATTAGTTTCAGCTCTATTGCGTAAAACGATAGCAAGTGAAATTGGAAACAAGAAACTTTATAAAAGTAAACTAACAAGAGTTTTTCATTCCTAATAAATTACTATTAGTACTGTCCGCTTCAAGGTATACTGATTAGTACGACTACACATCTCTGCAACTATTAGAAAGAAAAAGTCATGTCCTAATTCTCATTATTATTGCTGTTATTTCCATGGCAACTCTTTGACATAGATGTCCGGTAATAAGAAATACATTTATTCTTGATCACCATCCTATTCAATATCTTTAGTCAACACTTGCCAAAAAATTTGAAAATACAATGTAAGGTAACCTACATGAATAAAGCATAATGGGACAATTCTGTTTTTAAGCTCATCTGATGAAGAATTTCTATAAAGTACACGAAAATGGAAGCTTTAGGCATCATTTTAACCGAAATGGCAAAGTGCGATTCCTAAAAGCAATTTGTTTATCATTCCTACTTGAGACAATCATAACAAGAAATAAAAAGTCTGCCGAAATATTGAAATCTTTAATAAAGCACAATATTCGCTGTCTTAGAACAAAAGCCCTTTGATGTTATGGAAAAATTATGAACATTGTGTAGTTTACTAAGTTTTACATCCTACTTCTGATATTGATATACAATGGTTCTGATAAAATCTAAAAACCAAAAGCTAATACCTTATTGTCGCAATCTCTTTATCAGGTGCTGGAGGACTTTGGCTACATCTACGACAGCTCGATCACCGTTCCGCCGGTGCCGGTGCCAGTGTGGCCGTACACGCTCGACTACAAAATCTCGCACGAGTGCAAGAGCGGCACCTGTCCGTCGCGCACCTTCCCCGGCGTGTGGGAGGTGCCCCTGAACACGCACTACGTGGAGGGTTACGAGGGGGGCCACTGCCCCTACCTCGACCAGTGCGTGCTGCACAACCTCGACGAGGAGGAGGTCCTCCAGTGGCTGCAGGAGGACTTCTCGCGCTACTACGAGCAGAACAAGGCGCCCTACATGATGCCCTTCCACACCAACTGGTTCCAGACCAAGCCCCTGGAGAACGGCCTGCACAAGTTCCTTGACTGGGCCTTAGAACTGTGAGTACAAACTGTCTATCATACATTCCCAAATAATAGTTACGCGTATTGCCTAAAAAATTAATTACCATGAAGCTTTACAAAATCCAACAATCATAGATTATTTCTTAGTTTATGTTATATTTTAAAAGTATGATTTAGGGACTGTACCATTTTGGTATTTGTTATTAAATGTTTTCACGCTGCAACGCTAGGTTTAAATTTATTTGTGAATAGGAATATGACTTAATGCTGTACAGAAAGTTAAATGTTGAACCTTAAAGCTCCTAAGTGTTGAATTCATTTGGAAAGAAGTTTAAATCCGAAACAAGTGAGTTGTTTCCTCACCTAAGAATCTCCTGAGTTAAGCACATAAAGCTCCCCGTTTAAACACATATTTCAAATTTTGCATTTTTTGATTTGTGGAAGATATTCTGTCTTGACTGATTTTGTTCGAATGTTTTTCTTATTTCGTTGGGGGGTGAAGGAGGAGGTTCGTCTGCGTGGGCGTTTCAACCAATTCTGTGATATGCACAGCTCCTCTAAATTTTTTATAAAACATTGTTTTCAGCTTTTTCTGTTTTCGGCTTATACACAGTATATTTTTATTGTTGGTGTTTTCATAATTGAAAGCCAACTTTGGAACAGGCTCTCCTTCTCCCCCTCTCTCTCTCTCTCTCTCTCGTGCTGTCCCTTTCTATTCTCACACTCACACACACATACACATGGGCAGCTGGCGTTTCCTGCAGTGCACTTCCGATTGCCGCTGGCAAGTTTTATATTCAATTAAAAAAAGCCAAGAGAGATGAGCGAGATGAGAGCTGAAGAGCTGAAGAGCTGGAGAGATGGGGAGAAAGTGGGCTCGGAGAAAGGAGCGGCAGGAAGAAGCAGCAGCAGCAGCAGCAACAGCAAAATTGGCAATTGCTTTAAAAATTGCTTGCAGAACCGGTGGCACATGTTGCCAGTCCGTCGACAGGTTGAACAGAAATCCACAAGCCCCCGAAAAACCCTCTGCGAACAACACCCCTGAAATATCGCACAATGCACAGAACCAAAAGAATAAAGTTGATTACTAATTAGCACAAAGGTGTTCGAATTGATCAAAGTAAAATGTTGATCGAACCGAAGAACTTGCCACAAAATACAACATTGTTTCCTTTAAAAAAATAAAGAAAAATGATGCAAGTAGTTCCGTTGAGTTATCCACACTTATTTTGAACGGTGCATGTGTCGAATCCTGCTGGCAGTCACTCAACCATATGCACAACTCTCAGCGGAGTCTCAGGCGATCCCCAGCCCTTTCCCCAGCCACTTTCTCCTTTCTCTCGCCCTTTCGACCAGCGAACAATGGCGACGCTGCGGTCAGCGCTTAAAAAAATCATCAGCAGAATAAGAGCAGCAGTTCGGCTCGGATAAGGATACGGATAAGAGGGAAAAAATCGCACGTTTTAATGAGAAAAGTTTAATTTTGTTAAAGTTTCATTTTGAAAAATATCAGTGCAGGCACAGGTCAAGAAAACGGGGGCCGCACACATAGTGAGTGAAAGCAGAAAGCAGAGAGGAGAAAGGAGAAAGGAGAAAGGAGAAAGAGCGGGCTGCCAGGAAGGGAAAACAAACGCCAAAACACGACGGCGGAATTAGGGGTCGTGGCTGACTGGAAAGCCATGTTAAGGCGCGCAAAAAACAACGCAAGGCAGACAGAGACGGCAGGCTGCCAATAGAAAGAGATAGACGGAATGGGCGAGCAGTGCCAGCTGAAAGGGACGACAAACAAGCGAAAGTGGTACAAAACTTGCTTAATGAAGTTATGCTGATAGAATCGCACTTTGTCATCGACATTACTCAAGGGATGTGTGCATGTGTGCGTCTTTTAAGCAAGTGTGTGTGTGTGTGTGTTGGCCATGTTATCTGACATCTTTGTTTGTGCGGAGCGGGTTACACGCTGGATTCTACGGATAAACGACTTCTGGCCATCAAAACAACTCCTGCAAAAACAGGTGGAGTTAGGTCGGCTTTCCAAAGATAACATTGCATTGCATAAGCTTCCATATCGGACTTAGGGTAACTTGGGTAAACTTTGGCTTGCTTTGGTGTTTCAAGAACTTTTATTTGTGCAAAGGATGAGCCCAGAGGAAAAACAAAGTGATAGAACAATTAAAGGCTGGTTAACCAGGTTAATATTACTATTAGCGGAGTCCATTCATTTTAAAAGAAAATATCTGAGTTGAATCATTTTATCCAAAGTAAAGGGAGATAACGAAGATCATTTAAATCAGAAGAACCCACCCCTTAAAAAAGGGGATTGGTTTTTTTTTAGAAGACAACATACAATAATTCCTAACCCGAAATCCTATTTTATTTATTATTTAGCAGCTACATGAGAAAAGATTCATAGGTTGGTTAAAAGTGGAAAGCAATGCACATGAAATGTTCGGAAGTACAGCCACTGACTGGTTATCCTTAAACAAGAGCCAAATGTATTTGAGGGCGGTAACAAAACGCAGACATTTTAGTGTTGCCATTTTCACAACTCTAGAAATTTCAACTTCATTTTCGACACTTTGCCGGCGCCTGTTTTGATACGCCCACCTCCCCCTACAGCCGCCCACCTGATTCACACCTCATGCATTAGTTTACGGCAAGCTGGGCGAGGAGTTAAAAACTATAAAGATCTGACCTCGACGGTGGGCGCAAGGGCGAAAGGGAAATGGGAAATGGGAAATGGGAAACGGGAAAATGGGAAGGTGGAAAGGTGGGGAATCGGGGAAGAAGCGAAAGAGCAGCTGCTGCAAAACTATTCCTCGCACAATTGTACGAAGTTTTTAATTAGTGTGAATGACTTTCAACATTGCGTTGCCGTTCGGACCAGGCTCAAACAGGACCTGAAGCTGGATCTGGATTTGGATCTGGAGCTGAAGCTGAAGCTGAAGCTGAAGCTGAAGCTGAAGCTGATGCTGATGCTCTGGAGAGCCCCGGGAAATGGGAAAGCGGTAAAGGGATAAAGGGGAAAGCGTCTGTCGTAGGGCGGAGTGTACAGTACTGTACTGTTTGCATGAGATGCCGGAAAATGCGTACCCCTTTTCAGCACGAGCAGCACGAAAGAATGCCGAAAGTTTTCTTTAGCATCAACTTGCTTAGACCCTCCACACCTCTCCCCCTCCTCCCCTTTCCCATTTTGCCACGCCCACGCGGCCCATCATCATTACTCTTTTGTCTCGGTCCACAGGTGTACACCTGTACAGGTGCACTGTCACTGTGGCGAACACATGTGAAGTGGTTCGCTATAAAATAAGTTTCTGGATTACTCACTTTCCAATTCATTCCCCTTGGAGCGCTCGATTTTAAAGCACATTTGTTTTAGTTTTACCTTTAAAATTAAACAAGATCAAAGGTTTAATCATGCAGTTACCTCTACTTGTTATTAAATTGTAGTTCGTCCAGTGACATTTTGATGGAAAGCTTCAAATTATGGATAAAAATCGAATATTAGGAATGTTCGGTTTAAGTAGTGATATTTTAGTTTGGATCAAGGTACAACTAATTTGGGACAGGTAACTTAGCTTATGCTTTCGGATTAACATTAATAGTAATTAATTATACTGCCTAATTACGCAGAAAGACATCAAGAAATTACTGGGAATGTTCCCAAGAAATGTGTCATGTCAACATGGGGTGGAACATTAGAAACCTCAAAAAAATAATTCCAGCGATGCAGAATGGGTTTTCCCAGTAATAACACATTAGTTTCTTTCCTTAAGCTAATTTAAGCTAAGTAATTAGCTTAGGGTTTCGGCTTAAGATAACTTAGGTGGCCCTGCAATAGCACTAATGATTCCCGTAAATCCACAGACCCGACGTCTACATCCTGACCGTCACCCAGATGCTGCAGTACATGACCGATCCGAAGGAGCTGCGCGACGTCGGACAAATCGAGGCCTGGAAGTGCGACAAGAGCGTGGCGGTGGCCCCCAAGCCCTGCAACATCTGGCAGACGTGCGCGCTGCCCTTCAAGATTCCGGAGCAGAACCTCACGGACACGCGCTACATGGAGACCTGCCGCGAGTGCCCCAACGTCTATCCCTGGCTGGGCGACGCCGGCGGCACGGGAATCGCCGGTCGGGACAACTACATCTTCAACGCTGATCCCGAACCCGTTGACGATGGAAAGGAGTAGAGGGAGCGGGATCCAGGGATCTGCCACTTTTTCTGCCTTTTTTTAACCCACTCCGATTCTTAGCCCGCTTCTTACTATTAGTATTTCCTCTCCTGTCTTTTCCCGTCGCGAGCTCAGCAACTTCTAACGCATGTGCCAGTCATCGCGATGCAATAATGAGCTGCCCCTTTTCCCCTTCTTGTTTGCAACCTCCTTCTTGATTTTTCTCATTGTCCTGTCTCTCCTGTCTCCTGTCTCCTGTCTCCTTTCTCCTGTCCTGTCTTCCAAGTTTGCCGCTCCCCTAATAGTTCTTAAGCGAAATTGTGTCAAATTGTTCTTAGTTTTTAAGCGACAAAATGTTTGTAAGAAGAGTGTTTTTGTTTAAATAAATTGACTATTTTTCTACTTGCGTGTCGTTTGTTTTGTACTTTTGAAAAATATTACAACATTTTCAGGAAAAATGAATCGAGTTTCTCAAACTTTATTAATGCCTGTGCTTTTATTTTCGTTAATCGTAGGTTTATTAAAAATAATTTTTGAATTGTAAGGAAGTATTTGCAGCTCAAATTATAAATATGTATATTCTATCGTCTTTTTTGGAATATTTAGAGCTCAAGCATGAAGATTGAACGTTCGGATTCAATCTTTCGAGATATAGTAATTTTTTGCTACTAACATTTTTGTAAGAAATGGATTTCATTGAAATTGTATTACTCCTATAAAAGCACACAAAAGGAAATTAATGCAAAAAGGTAATTTTCAAAGTCGATTAAACTCTAATTCTTTGTTTACTAGCATTTGTAAGTCGCTAAATTTGTATGAGAAATATAGCTTAATATTCAGTGTCCAACCAGACATACGAAATTTTTATTGTTTTACATTCGAAAGGAACTTTTAAATTTTCTCGAAAGCTTAATTTAGCTTCTTGAAATATTTTTAAAATATTTGAAATATTTTAAAAAGGTTTAAAACCGAGTAATGTTATGGAATACCAATTTGGGGACCTTAGACGGATTTCCAATGCAGCTGCCTATCAAAGAGAAACAAATAATAATAATGTGAAACTGCAACCTGTATCCATGTTTCACTTATTTACGAACCGTTTCAATTAAAATGTAGTCCGCCGCCCGACCGAAAGTTTGTCTCCGGGCGAAATTATGGCCAGTGGAAAGTTGGCAACAGGGTGGCCGAGAACGATGCCCTAAGCCCCGACTACGACAATCCCCTAAAGTGCTGTTCAGGTGGCTCATAAATGCTAACTGACAATCGATAACTGCCGGACATAAATCACGGCGGAATCGGCGGTCCTGATGGCGCCATCTGGGGGTCGCGCTTGGCTCCCAAAAGTGTGACCGAGTCCACCGAAAATAGAGCGACCACACACAATTCAACAACTCGAAAATTGCATTTATGCATTATTCAGCGAAACTAGAAGCTGCAGCCAAAAGCGCAATTTGCAACTTTTGCCGACAATATCAACTATGTATTTAAAACAGAAATTAGACACGACACCGGCAATAACAAAAACAACAAGGGCCACACGTGGAAAACGCGACGCTATCAAAGGCAGCCCTGTTTGTAAATGTATAAATATGTACTCGAAGAAATTAGAAAATTAACTCTTCACGAATGAAGTGCCCTTCGGCCAAATTTGGACAGTTTAATTAATACTCCCTAAGCAGTGTTAACATTACATTTTATTTATATTGAGCTTTGAGTGTAAAAAATTGGCATACATAAATTGGTTCTTTAACAAAAAAACAAATCAATTTGAATGTATTGGCTTGATAACTCAAACTAAATGGGGTCAGATTTATTTAAAGCTTTAAAAATGTGTTATTTGAATAATGTCTAATGAACAGGAAACATATTTTTGAGGATGGAAATATTTTTTGTAAATTGTGAGCTCAAATACCTTTATTTGCTCCCAAAGGTATTAGTTTCGGAAATGTTTTCAAGTGTAGTAAGCAGCCAAACAGCTCTGACAATACGCGCCCAAAGGGCGGTGAAAAAATCACAAAACTTTTACAATTTCAACGGGTAAAAAACGTCCATAGCGTCAAAGGGAACACGCGCGACGTGTGTGTGTATGTATGTAGGTACATGTGTATTTTTATGGGGTGCAAGGGCGTAGGCGTGGAGGGGGGAATGGGGACAGGGTGGTTCGCCAAGGGGGGAAAGGGAGTAGGCCATGGCCCGAACAAACGCAGGCGGGCGGATGGCTTAAAGCGCGACAAACAACATCCGCCGCCATTGTCGCTGTTGTGATCTTCTAGACCAGTGTTGAACAGGTCGAAAAGGATTTACTATTTTAATAGCTATTTTTAAGGTATTATTAATGTATATTGCTTACGAAAAGTGGTAAGAAACTTTTTCCTTGCTTTATTTTTATACCCTTGCAAAAGCTCCTTCACTGCGTTGCAAACTTCTGACTGAAATTATAATACCCTCTGCAAGGGTAGAAAATCGTCATAGCTTCGATGTTGTTTAACCATTATGGATTTTGTTCGACATATTTGATGACTGCAAGGGTATAAAAGCTTCGGCTTTAATGATTTCTTCGTTCAGTGGAGAGGACGTTAGCACGTCATCATTTAACCTTAATCGATCTCATATTTAAATTTGTATATTATTATTTGTTTAAGACAAGTTATCAAGTATAAAGGTATGAATATAAAAACTTAGATCCTAGTTAAAGTAAAAGTGCCACCCTTTTTTTTACTTCCACAAGCCGCGAAGCTCAGTGACAATCACGAATGATGGCACAGTATTTTTGTTTGATGTTGTGGATTCTGATCGTAAACGCTCAGCGAATGGCGCTTTCACGCCTACATTTACACCCAGTAGCCTGCTTTCTGTAGGGACGTCATAATTCAAAAGTTCTCACGCCTATTTTATGGTTCTCTCTTGTTTTTATTGCACAAAATTAATTTTTATGCTGCCTTGGGAAAGTTTATTTTCAAAAATATGCGCACCCACAAGCTTGAATTTCAACATTTTCTGAACGATTATTGTTATATTTCAAGATATAAACATGAATGAAAAACTATAGTGTAATATTCAAAAGTATGCTATTATATCTGAAATAAGTATCCTCCTCATAAGCACTTTTTTTGCAACCAGTTCCCCAACACTGGACCCACAAGCATAAAAGGATGGGAAGGCGTAACAGAATGGGGAAGATTGCGAGACAATGAGAGGGGAAGTGGGGAAAAGGGGGAAAAGGAGAGAAAGGGAAGGGGAAGGGGGTTTGTTACCTCGCTTCGTGGTGTGCTCCTTTTCTGTCGTTTTGCAAAAGTTTTGTTTTTCGGAACAAAACTACAAACACAAGCAAACATGCGCGTTCACACACTCGCACACTCACACAGACGCTCAGGCAAGGAAACAGGACATGAAAGTGCATTCATTGCTGCTGTTTGCCCGCTATATATATACATATGTGTGTGTGTGTGTGGGTATTTGTGCGCTTGTAGCTACTCCTAGCTTAAAATGAATGAATAAAGTTAGTCAGACAAATTGCATTTTCCGAAAATATTATCCCAAACAAGTAATTGAAAATTTGTTGGTCGTATTTATGCCCCCATTCCCCACTAAAAAATATGTGTGTCCGAGGATCGTGGAATAGAAGTTGAAGGCTATGAATTGGTATTAACAACTGGTAAATTAAGCCAGGGCTGTGGGCTATATCCTGATTGGCTTCAGAGTTCTTAAAACCGAATTCAAGAAAGTAATACGATTTCGGAAAGCGGAAGTCTATATGAGTTATTATTTATATTTTCTTGAAGGCGCTAAAGTAACGCATTGCCCACTTAATGTCTCCATACCTTACAGATGTCCTTCTCACAAGCTACTTTTCTTGTTAAATATATTATTTAGTACCACATTGCTTAGGATAATATCGACGCTTTAAAAATCAATTAAGGAAGCTAATATACCCCTGCATTGAAAACAGAAATTTATAAATCGAGTTAATTCATCACGCTTTAAACGTAAGCTTTGGTATTCAAATTAGCAAATTAGATTTGTTAAATACAGAAGTTATGTTGATTATGTTGTTCATTTTCAAAAGAATTTTTAATTTGTCCAAATAGACTGTCTTCCATTTTCGTAGTTCTTGTAAGAGGAAATGCTCGCATGTTCAAGAAGATTACAATTTTTGACGAAAAGCCAGGAACGAGAACATTAAAAATTTGTTATTTATTATTCCCGTTACTCAAAGGATGGAATGGTATAATGCATAGAACTTTCGATTCTATAAGGTGTATACACTCGTAATTAGAATGATGCCATGTCCATGGCAAATGTAGTTTTCAAAAGTTGTTAAAGGTTAAATTTAAACGGCAAAAATAATCGAAGCCAACGAAGTTGGCATCTGAACCTCAATAATATCGTTACATAATTGCTCAGTTATTTTTTTAATGTTTGTACCAGATTGATCTTAAAGCGGTATTAAGCGGTATTAAACGCTTTAAAGAATGAATTCTGGTGTAAATAAAATAAAATAAAAATTTATTTGTAATAATATTATACCTACAATATAAATATCTGGGCAAATTGTTTAAAGATTTATTTATTTATGCTCGGGTTATGGAGAAATTACAAATTACCTCTAACCCATACTTTAGCTTTAGCAACTAGGCCTTAAACTTTATATGTTTAAATAAAAACTCTGCTTGTAATGCAATGTGTACCTTCAATATCAATCATACTTTTGGCTTAGTCTTAACGAGATAGCTTTTAAACTGAGACACTAGTTTACACAGAACCGGAGAAAATAATCGATGCAATGGTTCATAAAATTCATGACACCTTTAAAATTGTCTCGTATGCGTAAATATTAATTAATTAATTAAAATAAATTATACATTTGAAAATTTTAATAGCTTAATGATATCTTAAAATTGAGTGTAAGTGTGGGTTATAATAAACTACAATAACAATAACTAGTTGTAACTAGGGTTTATTTTGGGTATAGTAGTAGTGATTAGGAAAAGGGATTTAATTATAATTATAAAGCTGATTACGACACTGATTTTAGTCAATTTGAGTGCGCCAAAAAACAATTGCACTTTCATTTTGTACCTTTTTAGTTTGGATAAAAGCCAGCTTTAAGTTATCCGTCCTGGCGTAGACCCATTTCCATGACTCATACTAAGTGTGCGTTTTCCAACTTTTCCGATCATATGTTTCGCCAAGTGTTTGATTTAAAGGGAAGTGAAACTTTGCAAAGTGCTCTGTGGGTGTGAGGAAGTGCTTCTTTCTACACGTACGCACATTTTGCAAACTGCACTAAATTAAGGTAACTCCATGCGGTTCCCCTGCTCCCCCGTTTCAAGCCCCATTTTCGCCTTACAAGCCCCTCGTCTCCACTCCCCCACTTGCTCCACGTTCACTCTCTCTCACTCTGTGTTTAAAGTGTTGGTCCGGCTAAGCCAAAAAACTAACTTACACCTAACTAAATGACAAAGTTTCGCCAGAACACCCAAAAACACACACATATGAAGTTGGCCAAGAGTGGTGTAAAACGGGGAAAAGGTGGGTAAAAGTGAGCTGAAGAGGGGCTAAAAAGAGCGAAAAGTTGGTTGGTTGGACTGCCGAGCGGTAATATAAGGTAAACATTTCTTTCTATGCATATGCGAGCAGCTTGAATAAGTGCATCTGTATGTGTCCTGGTTCTCGGGCTTGTGTGAGTGTACCACCACATGGACGGCAAAAGGCACGCGCTTCCCCCGCTCCACACAGTCACACTTACACTTACATTTTTTTTTTTTTTTTTTTGGAGAGAGTGGAAAGTCGCTGCGTACCGGACGTGTTTTATATTCGAGTGCGCGAAAACAAGTTTCCTACGTTGTGATCCGCGTGTGCGACATCTAAAATTGAAGAGAAGGGGTTGTAGCGACCCATAGTTGTGGAAGGATAAACATACCAGTGTGCGGAGGTCTTCCCTGGACCCCAGAATCCCTCTGGCTCCAGTAGCGTCGGCTCGGCACTGGGACGAAGGGGTGATACCCCCCTGCAGGTGAGTGAAAGCCCTTTTCACTCAATTTTCCGAATTGGGTGATTAGGTCTGCCATCTTCGTGGTCAGTTGACTGACCAGCTGCGCTGCAGAGTTACCAACTTTTGCGCAAGCGTTAGCCGAGCTGCCAACTCGCGGGGAAAGCTCTAAAGCAAGCTCTCCTCCGACCAAGTATAGCATATTTTTAGGCGACAGGTAGGAGTCAAAAGATTTAAAGGATGGCGAGCCGTGGCCCTGGCCCGGTTAGCATAACTAAGGAGACGACTCAGGGCAAGGCCAAAAGCGCAGCAGCTGAAGACTCTGCTGCGCCGGAAGCTGACCCATTTAGGAAGAGTAGCAAGATGGGGAGATCACCGACAAAGGTGCCAAAATCTCCACCCATCTTCTCGCCTGCAGTAGAGCAGGAACAGGCGGATACGGCGCATGCTGGAGGTCCCACAGAAGCGGGGGTCTTCCATTTCAGCGCAATTTCCGAGCAGGGACTGGCTCCGCTTATCGCCAATGGCGACATAGACGGAGTTGTTGGAGCGATCGGGGCGAAATTGTCCCAGCTTAACTGTATGATGTTAGGCAAGACGAGGGTGATGGTGACGATTCCTATGAAGGAACTCGTGCAGCAGGTCATCGCCCTCCAAAAGTCAGCAGTCAGGATTCTGGAGACGGCTCCAAAAAAATCCCAGTGAGCAAAAGCCCACTCCCAAAAGGTCACGTGAGAGCCCTAGAGCCGGTAAGCTCTCAGCGCCAAAAAGGCAGAAGGTGCCGCAACCTTGCGGTACAAGCAATAAGGTGGTGAAAGCCATAACCTACGCAAGTGCAGCGAAGCAAATTTCCGGCCCCCTTCCGCCGAGCCATGCGGACAAAGGCACGAAGGAGGGTGCGGAGAAATGGTCGACGGTTACCAAAAAACCGAAGAAGCAGCAGCCAAAAAAGCAGCAGCAGCATAGAAAACTCCCTCCACGCACAGACGCACTAGTCGTCAAGTGTGGCGAGGGCATGCAGTATGCCGACGTGTTAAAGTTGGTGAAAAACAACCCAACTTTACAGCAACACAAAGATTGCGTCAAAGGCATACGGATGACTGGTAGGGGGCGAGCTACTCATCAAAATGATGAAAACGGCCGACCCAGCCACATCCAAATTACAGAAGGCAATGCAGGAGACTCTGTCTGATAAGGCAGAGGTTAAAGAATTGAAGGAGCTAGTCCAGGTTGAGATTAGGGACATAGCAGAGTTCTCGTCGAAGGACGATATCATCCAGGCGGGTTTCGCCAACTATGAGGGCGACATCCCACCTGCGGCCATTCCTTCCCTAAGGAAGGCATACGGGGGCACACAAGTAGCCAGGTTGAGCATCCCGCCCGTTCTTGCGGAGAATATCCTAGCAGAAGGAAAAATCCGCATCGACTGGGCGCACTGTAGGGTCCGTAAGTCCGTTAAGCCAAAGCGATGCTATAAATGCCTCGCATTTGGTCACATGGCCTTGCACTGCCGTAGCAAGGTCGATTTGTCCAAAGCGTGCTTTAACTGCGGTGGGCTCGATCACGAGTCCAAAAGCTGCAGCAAAGAGGCACGCTGCCTACGATGCGCAAAAACCCATGGCGCAAACTGCAAGCACCACACGCTTAGCAGAAGCTGCCCAGCTTACCAGCAGGCTCTCAAAGCAAAGGGAAAATGAAAATTCTCCAATTGAATTTGAACCATTGCAGAGCGGCTCAGGACTTGCTTGCCCAAACAGTGCGAGCCTTAAAAATAGACCTGGCCATCTTGAGCGAGCCATACGCAAGTAAGCACGATGGGATTTGGTTTCAAAACTCCCAAGGTGGTGCAGCAATTTGGAGCTGCAGCCCGAGACCACTGCAGATCCAATGCCGGCATTCAGGCAGAGGTTTTGTCAGGGCGAAGGTGGGTAGCCTTACCATCTATTCGTGCTATATTGCACCCAGTGTCGACTCGCAGACATTTGGCAGCATTGTTGACGACATTCTGGAGGACGCCAGAGGACGACACCCCATCATCATTGCCGGCGATTTCAACGCCTGGGCAACGGAGTGGGGCAGTCGCCTCACAAACCATAGAGGCCACATATTGTTGGACGCTATTGCCCGGTCAGGCCTCACTCTGGCTAACACAGGGTCAGCCAACACATTCGAGAAGGCGGGAATGGGTTCAGTGATCGACATCACGTTTATGAGCCCAACCTTAACCAGGACGTCAGCATGGCAAGTCTCAGAGATATATACCGGAAGCGACCACCGGGCCATCACCATGGAAATAAGAGACGGGCGATATAAACGCAAAAACATCAATGCGTCCACTGGGTTCCGAGATTCTACCCTCGACCCGCAAGCCCTGATCTTAATGGCGGAAGATCTCGTGTATGACGAGCGTAAGAACGCCAACGAAAATGCTGTATGCATTAAAAAAGCAACCTGGTCAGCATGCGCAGCTTCCATGGAAAGGAGACGTGCTGGCGGAAATGGGTGTCCCCCGGTGTATTGGTGGACCGATGCCATAGCGGAGGCGCGCAGGAAGTGCCACCAGGCACGAAGGCAATATATGCGCTCTCGAGGTAGGCCGAACTTCGCCTCACTCCAACGCCTCTACAAATCCTTGCGGACGGCTCTCAAAAGGAGATCTCCGCGAGCAAGAAACAATGCTTCGCTAAACTATGCGATGACGCAGACACACGTCCCTGGGGCACAGCGTACAAGCTGGTAATGGGGAAGTTGGCGGCCTTCAGCCAGCCCACCCCAACATGTCCTGAGCAGCTCAGCAACATAGTGGCGCACCTCTTCCCGCCGAGTGTAGTACTGCAGCCACAGCAAGAGCCCTCCCCGCTTCAAAGTGAGATTTTTCCCACGTTCACAAATGCTGCGGAAGTCTTGGCTGAAGTTAGGAGAATCAAAGTCGAAAAGGCCCCTGGCCCAGATATGATCCCTAACAAGGCATTAAAGATAATAATGACGGAGAGATTGGAGATCTTCGTAAAGCTCTTCAATGCCTGTTTCGCACAGAGAACGTTCCCTGAAGCCTGGAAAATGCAGAGATTGGTACTATTACCCAAGGGCAGTCAAAATGACAACCTTGCGGCCTATAGGCCACTCTGCATGCTCGACACTGTGGCAAAGGTATACGAGAGGCTAATCTGCAACCGCATCGAAGTTGCACTGTCCGAGGGTCCGGGCTTATCCCACAATCAATTTGGTTTCAGGAAGAAGCGATCCACAGTGGACGCGATCGGGCTGGTACACAAACTGGCCTCTGAGGCAATCCAGGGAGCACGTTGGCGAGGCGGTAGCAAAAAATACTGCCTTGTGACTACCCTGGACGTAAAGAACGCATTTAATACTGCCAACTGGGTGCGGATACTCTCAGCCCTGAGACGTTTACAGGTCCCCAGCTATCTGGTGGACATAGTCTCAGAGTATCTTAGCAACAGACAGCTTCTATATGATACTGAGGAGGGCCGTCGAAGCTATGCAGTTTCAGCAGGAGTTCCCCAGGGCTCGGTGCTGGGCCCTACCCTCTGGAACTGCATGTACGATGGAATACTGAACCTACAGCTCCCTGAAGGAGCTACGATCATTGGCTTCGCAGACGATATTGCTGTCGTCGCAGTAGCGAAGCACCTAAATGAAGCCGAAGCAGTAACTAATGCGTCTATCGAGCAAGCTTCCCACTGGCTATGTGCTAATGGCCTGAAGCTCGCCGAGCACAAGACGGAAGCCGTCTTGATCAGCAGCAGGAAGGCAGTAGAAACCGCCCAAATAATAGTGGGTAGGACAATTATACGGTCCAAGCCCTTCATTAGGTATCTTGGCGTAATGCTGGACCACCGGCTTACGTACAAATTCCATTTAGAGGTGACGGGCAACAAAGCGGCCAAAGTTGCCACGTCTTTAGCTAGAATGTTAGGGAATGTTAACGGGCCAAAACAGCAGAGCAGGCGCCTTCTGGCAAATGTGGTGAAATCCACAATCATGTATGCGGCACCGATCTGGGCTCCGGCCATGACCTCGCCCACATATAGTCGCTCATGCAGGGCGGCATACAGACGCGCCGCACTCCGAGTTATATGTGGCTTTCGGACCATTTCGGAGGAAAGCGCGTTATTGCTAGCCGCCACGACGCCCCTAGACCTGCTCGCAAAGCAGGCGCAGGAGCTGGCCGGCGAATTTGCATCGATCGAGGAGAGTAGAGCCCGCGTGGTCTCAGCGTGGCAAAACCGGTGGAGTGGAAGCACAAAGGGTAGGTGGACGTACAAGCTACTGCCAGATGTGAAGCGTTGGGTTGAAAGAAAGCACGGACAGGTTGACTTCTACATGACGCAACTGTTGACAGGACATGGGTGCTTTAAATCCTATCTTCATAGGTTTGGGCACGAGACGGACCCGTTCTGCACACAGTGTACTGGGGCAATCGAAGACGCAGAACATGTTTTCTTTTTATGTCCGAAATTTGAAGCTATAAGGCATGAGCTCAGCCTAGCAATTGGGAAGCCGTTCACGGTCTCTGACCTGATGGATACGCTACTGGGCTCACAAAACAATTGGGATGCCGTCAGCAAAATGACAGTCTTTGTCATGAAATCCATGCGTCGCGCTGAACGTCAGCGCAACCGTCGTCTAACCTAGTTTAATTACTAGTTGCGGCTTTTCAGGCCATCTCCCCCCTCGCGAAGTAATACCCAAGGTTAACCCCTGCGGTTGTACCGTGAGAAGGGAAACGGAGAGTAGGTTCGGGGTTTTACTGGGTGAAAGACCCAGACTTCGGCTCTTCAAGCTTTACCACCTACTATAAAAAAAAAAAAAAAAAAAAAAACACTTACATTTTTCTACCACTACCGCACACTGGACCAGAAAATTCGTTTTAAGCCCAAAAATAACCCCAAAAATGCCAAAAGCTAATAATCTTTCGAAATACTTTTTCAATTTATATTTAAATTTAAATTTTGACAATTCAAAATATTTTTATATATTATTAAGAGTAAAAAATAC